ACACTGGTTACATTAAATTAGAATCCTGGTGCTCAGAATGCAGTATCTCCACCCAGAGGGAGGCCATTCATGTGAGTCTCTGTGTTCTGTGTCTCATCTATATGACCCAGTAGTGAAAAAGGGAACTTGAAATTCTTTTTTTTGCAAGAGTTGAAGAGTCTTCCGATCTCTGTTCCTCCACTCTGCTCACTTTCATCACATGACAGACCTTGCTAAAAACAGGCTGGACTGTGCCCACGAGTGGCAGAAAGTCCTGTATTCCAGGAGGTTTATGTTCAGCTTCCTCTGTAGCCCTGAGCACTGTGTAACTCAGAGCACAGAAGTACAGGGCTGCATCGCTCCCGTGGGCTCACGCCTTCTCCAGGTGGAAGGAAGATTCATTCTTCTTAAACTCAGCCTCAAAGCCTCGGACACCTTTAATCTGAGAGGCCCCTGTTAAGTACTTGAGGACAAGTTGGAGGCCTTGGCCAGGTTGCTGGATGTACCAGAAGAGGTAAGGTGGTGCACCATAGGTATAGTTGCACTTCAGCAGCAGAGGGTGTCCTTCAGAGACAGTGACATGGCGGTCAGGCTGGGCCACCGATGGGCTCCGCTTCCTCCTGCAACATCAAGCCTGCATCAGTGAGACCAGGACAGATTTATCTGTAAAGAGGTGGTGACTGTCCTTAGATTTTCATTGAGGAGCTGCTTCCTCTGTGGAGGTGGCAGCAAAGATTGCACGATTACTTACTCAGAGTGAAGGGTATTCCAAGCAGGAAGACAGTCACTGAGAACATGGCTGGTTGGTGAGCAGTCTGAGAGAGCTATTCTACATCTCCCTGAGAAGAAAGAATTGTGTTCTTAGAATGGAAAAATCTGAGATTCAGGGGTTTTCTGTTCAGGCAATGTCTAGAGGTCAATACTGGAGGACGCTTCCTTAACAGCGTCTATTCTGGAGCTGATCCTTCTCAGAATGCAGATCCTACTCAGAATGCATTCAGCGTGCTGTGAAGGAAAGTTTGCCAGAACCCAAGAATTTTTGTCTGCAGAGCCTTTTTTTGTTTGTTTAGGCAACATCGCCCCCTGGTGGTCAAGTATAGAAAAAATTAAACCTTGAGGCATAAGTGCTGGTTTTGTTTTGTTTTTGCGGTGCAATCGATGCATTTTCAAAGGTCTGCTTATAATAGGATATTTTAATCTTATGTACCAAACAGTATCATTTTATGAGGTAAATGATTTAATCATACTATTTTGAAAGTAAGGAAGCTGAAGAATGGAAAAAAAAGATACAATCGTTTGTCTGAGTAATATAGGATTAAGAACTGGTTAACCAGTGAAAATTTCCCACTATAGCCTGTTAGAGTAGATATCACTCTTGCTTAACAGAATCAAAGTCAAGTTATATGAAGTTAAATAATTTGCCCAAGGACACAAGAGGATTAGGATCTAATTCTGTTGCGCTCCAAGCTCAGCCCTCCCCGCTGGGTTACTTGGTGTAGTGATGCTGTTACAGAGGTGGAGGACTGTCACAGAGACAGTGTTCAGAGAAAACAGAGGAAAGCAGAGACCAGAGGGAACCTCCAGGAATTCAAACACTGCTGCGTTTGAAAGTAAGAGGAACTGTAACAAAACAAACCCTCAAACTGTCCAGAGAATGCAGTACAAAATCAGAAACGGCTGGTTCTTAGAAGGGTTTTAAGAAGAAATGAATGATCAAGGGAACAAACACTAATCAAATGTCTAACAGGAGGAGGACTTCTCGGTCGTTGGTTTTTTTAACAGCACAATGATGACAATTTGAGTCTTTTCAGCAGAAAATAAACTGTACTGAAATGAGGGAAGGAATAAAAATTTGAGTATAGAAATCTCTGGAAGGGTTTCTGGGTTATCTAAAGAGAAAAAGGAGATGGTGGACCCTGGATGGAGATATTAAAATAGTAATGGATTTTTAAAAATGTGGCATATTTACATGCTTTTGGAAAGAATCTATAAGCTGTGGTTCAGATGTCTGAGAAGACAGGATTGGAATATAATCCTGGATCAAAAGATCAAGCTTTGGTACAAGGAACAATTATGTCTAATTTTGTTGAAATAAAGGAAGAAAAGATCTGTTTGGTTTTAAGCAATACTTTGGGGGATGTGAAGGTAAAATTTTGAAGTATCTGTTATTTTCTGGGATGGGATGGTTTTGTGTTTGTTTAACCTTACTATTGTATGTGATACACAGAAATTAAATCCTGCTTTGGGGTTTGCTGCACATACGTATCATCATTTTGGCTGCCCATTTCCTCATCCTCAACTTTCCCTTCTTTTCTAGATCCCTATCGTATCTTGACAGAGCCTACTTCCCTGTTTCTTTGCATGGTTTTTATTTTGCTCTTTACTCTTTTCAGATTAATATATGAACTATTAAAGGGCTCAAAAAATGAGGTGTTAAAAGTAAATGAGCCAATCAAAAATGGGCACTTAAAAGGAGTAGCATTTCTCAAAAGTAGAAGTACAAATGGTCAATAAGTACATGAAAAAAGGTTTGCTACATTTGACCCTTCAGGAAATACAAATAACACTAAAACTCCGCCGGATACCAGTAAACATGGCCACCATTGTGGCCGTGCACCTCCTGCTTCACTCTCAGGTTTGCACACTGCCCTGCCAGTGGCACACGGCCTGGCCTCCTGGCTTGCTTCTGAAATCTGTGTGGAGGATTCTATGACCTCACAACTCTTGCATTTTGCTAGCTGAAGAAACGGTACCACCTGGATGATGCCGTGATCTGCTGACAGTCTGAGGAGCAGCCTGAGCCCCTTGAACTGCAGCCAGGTTGCAGGGTCCTCCTTGTGCTGCGAGCCTAGAGCCTGCATGGTAGGAAACATTTCCCCAGGCAGCCTTAGCAAGCTCCGCTCCCAGGGGCTTTCTTCTTGAGAAGTCTTTCAAACTAGGGGCGTTTTTACCTCATTGAGCCTATAAAAGTTGGGGTCCGGCCAAATACCGAGAGGCCTTTGAGTCATTTTTCCTCTCATCCCAAGGCAAATACTCGCTTTCTTAAGCTACTCTGTTCAGCATGCACGCTATGTTGGGTCTCACTTTGCTGGTGCTTGCTTTCTTGTGAGACTTCAAATTTTAATAAATCATTTACTTCTGCCTTTTTCACCTGATTGTCACTGTAGATCTGACTAAAAGAAGCTGGTAGTACTCATGCCTGAATACTGAGCTATCTTGAAATTCTTGCAATAGATTAATTAGTACAATGCCACTTGTTTCAGTTTCCTGAAAATCTCAGCATGTGGTCAAATGAAGACACATTTTCTCCCAAAATGTGACACACATGACTTCTAGTTGAACTTCCAGTGAAGTGTTCCTTGTCCACACCTGAAATCTCAAGCTCCTGGCCCTTAGCACTGCATTGCTGTCAGTATTTGGCCTTTTGAGCTCTGACCAGAATTGCCTACCAAGCTCTGCTTACATCAGTCTAAGGCTTCTCTAATCTGTATCTCCAGAATTTTCCAAATTCCCCCTGCAAACCAGTTTCAAAGGCTCTAGAATCACCTGGCAAGGTATACATACATAGCAATTACCCAACTGCTGGCATCACTTTTCTGTATTAGTCAGATTTTCCACTGTAGGACAAATGTCAGACACTTACAATTTAAATGAGGAGAGGTTTATTTTGACTCACAGTTTTGAGAAGATTCAGCCCATGGTTGGTTGGCTACAAGGAAGAACGGCATGGTGGGGACACATTGCTAAACTCATGACAGCCAGGAGGAAGACAGGGAAGGAAAAAGCTGGGCACAAGAACAGAGTTCTTCAGGTCATGTCCATCCTGCAGTGATCCACATCCAACCAGGCCTTACCTCCCAACAGTGCGTTCAGCTAAGAAGCTTATCAGTGATGAATTCACTGCTAAGTATACTGTCCTCATGATCCAATCACCTAACAAACCCATGAGACTTTGCGTGGACATTTTAGATCCAAATCAGAATAGACCCAGTTTTTCTTACCTACCTTCTCTCAAGAATTCAATATTTGTAAACTATGTGACTCTCGCTTGCAACTTTAATGTACAACTTTTTTTAGTTACAACAAAGATGTTTCTAAAGATCAGCAGGAACCAGTGACCTAGATAAAACTTTCTTGAGATGTATAGATTTGCTTCCTAAATTATTTTTCATGTATTCAAACCTGTAGAAAAATCCCCATCTCTCACCCCGTGTTACTTCTCTTTTGGGAACTTGACTGCTGTCTCTCTTGACAATGTTCTTTGATCTGATTAAAACTCCTCTCTTCTCTTATCCTGGTGGACAGTAAAATTCTTTATATTGCCCATGTCACTGATCTGTCTTTCCAATGCTGTCTCCCATGGCAGAGTTATTCTGGAGGAGGAAGCCAGTAAACCCCAGCCATACAGTCAAATTGAAATTATGAATCAAATTCTTGTTTCTGTAGATCCTAGGGAGAAAATGTCAGCAAAGGGTAAGTCTTTTTAATAAGAAGAAGATATACTGACATTTTGCTCAGGTTATCATAGAGAAGGAAATAAATAGTGAACAAATCCATAAAATATCAGACTAGTCTCTGTTTAAATTGATAGAAAATCCAAGCTAAGTTGTAATTATATTGGCATTTTTCTAACCTTCAAAGGTTAATTACTTTTAGCTGTTATTTTGGCATGTGAAATAATTTCATTCCTAGATATTTTAAAAAAAAATTAACTGCTACATACAACCATACTTTTATATATGTGCAATATATAAATTTGGTTAAACATATTTATCCCTACAACCTTTTGTAAGTTATGGAAAAAACACTCAAAATCCTTTCCACTAAGTGTTGAAATTTTAGAGGTCTGTGGCGCCAATGAAGGATACATTCAGATCCTTTGAGAATTTGTATCTTTGTCAGAATCCACTGATTTTTTCCTGAGGTAATTGAAATTCCATGAAGCATCTCTGTAAAAGAAAACCGATAACTGCATATTAGGAATTAAATTTACTAAATTTCATGTCTAAATGAGTGAATTTCTACACGCATCCCTATTGCCATGAGGAGGAGGGGCACCATCTCTTTGCAGACAATGTGACTTTAGCTTTCTCCACCTTCTGAGCTACCCTAGGGATGAGACACTCTTTGTGGCTTCTCAGGGCGAGGTTTGGGTACAGGCAGCAGGTGCTTGGGGAGCACTGTGCCGCTGCACAGAAATAGGTTCCTACGTCAGTTCCCCGGGTGGCTGTGATGTGCAGGGAGCCGTCCTGTCTTCCTTCTTCAAATCGGGTTGTCAGTCTGTCCTGCTTCTTCACTTCTCCACCCTTCACTAGCCTCACCAAGAGGACTGGATGACCCCCAGGCTTCTGCTTGTACCACTCTAAGTTGTTTAAAGAGGCTGAAGAATTGCAGTATGCGGAGAAGTTCTCTCCTTCCAAGACGTGCCAGAATCGAGGAATTTGCTTTACCTGTTTTCCATTCATTTCTGTGGGGAAAGACAACCAGCGGCATCACAAAAATTTGATAAGATCCCTATTCCTTAAGGTACACCATCTTGGCCATTCTCATTTTTCATGCCCCCCTGCCTCCCCTTCATTTAGCTTTTATTTCCCAGTCAGAAAGAAACAAGAAGTCTATTTCCTGCCTTCAGATATTTTCCTACTATGCTGAAATTTCTGGAAGCACCCGGGATTGTGGAACTCACGTGACAACTGCATCCATGCGATCAACAGGCTTGCGATGACCTGCATTCCTATTCCCCTTGAGAGAGAGCCCAGACTGCTTCTGGGTGAACTTTCCTAGAACTGGCTTCTTCTAGCTCTAAAAATAGTTGTGATGTGTCATGCAAAGTTCGTGTGTGTGTGTTGGAAAGGAAGAGAAAAAGTGTTTGCAGCCTGAGTCAATCTGTGTTTGCAGAGGCTGCCCCCTAGTGACTGATGTTGGAAATTGCTTATTTGATATCCAAGCGTTTTAAAATGTTGCTAATTTCTACTATATGAGTGTGTGTCATTAATCAGGAAGGGATAAATATCAATTTGTCATTACTGAAATTGTTCATGAAGGAATGATTTGCCTGATAGAGGCAGATTCTATTATTAAAAACTGGGGATCAGAAGAAAACAGAAAGTCTTACTTTGCCATCCATTTCTATTTTCATCGCGAATCATGCTTGCCATGTAGCATGTTTGCACATGAGCTCATGCAATGCACTGTCACACATTTCAATAAATGTAGAAAAGACTCATAATTATAGACAGCAGATCACCTCAAACAGAAAACAAAAAATACATACTGTTCTTCGTCATACAGATTTCCTTAATAAATTATTCAATTTAGAGTTGGTATCCACAGCCCTATTATGCCACTGGTACACAGTCCAGCAGTGGGAGGCACATTAGTATAATTGGAAGTAAAAGCTGTATTCATTAAATATCATTTCTTGTATGAATGCTTATATAAAAGGCTTAAACAGAAAAGTTTCCTATTGTATCGGATACATTCTGTTAATACACCATGCAGTAGAGAGGAGTGGATGAACACAGAAATTAATTTTGGGCAAAGCTGTGTGGTTCCACAGAACTTTTGTCAGATTGTCATAGTTATCCTAATACTCTAACTACCCATTAATTTTCTAAGTTGCCCTTGTACACCTAGAGGGTGTACACCCTTCTCATCCTGAAGAAAGTTACTGTTTTCTGTGGTAGTTAACAGCCACATGGGGATCATTTAGTTAAATGTAACTTAAAATTTAGTTTCTAATTCAGATCATCTACATTTCAAAAGCTGACTAGCGACATGTGGCTAGTGTCTTCTGGACAGTACAGATAGAGACCTTTCTGACCATCTCAGAAAGTTCTACTGGATAGCACCGCTCTAGAAAACAGGGTCTATAAAGTTGAAGAATCATGTCTATTTTGTTTTCTGCTGTATCACAAATGCACTTCCTAGTAAGTGGCAAGCACTTAATAAATATGTTTATTGTTCAACAACACGTCCTCAAAAGCATAGGTCAAATATTTACCCCACATTTTTGGTACATACATGAACACATTTAACAATCATAAACGAGGTAACTCTTATCTATGAGTAATGGGCATATAACTGAACCTGAGTACAGACATACATGGTAAATGACTAACACCACTTCCCTAACTTCCTTAGCCTAATTACATTTACATAGCTTCGCAGTTCTGGGAGTGAACATATTATTTGAGGTCTACCTATCAATTCAATATGAAAATGTAGAGTTTTTAGTGTTGCTATGTGAATGCATTACTGGTAGAAATCTTAGCTCATCATTTGCCACTAGTGAAACATTACAAATAAGGTAGAAAAGGATGGAAAATAAAAATTAAAGGTAGCATAGGCAAAGGCTATACCAATGGCCTTATATTTTTAACTAGTTTCACCTTAAGATTTTGTAATGGTTTTTCATTGTATAAAATAAACAGGAAGTGGTCTGATCAGACACATTTCCTAATAACTCTTGTGGCTGTGTAGAAGCTGGATTCAAGCAACTGCTGTCATTCAAGAGCATGCTGAATTCCTGAAGTAGGACAGTAGCAAGGAGCATAGATATAAGACATAGATATGAGTGACATTTGAGTGATAAATTCATACGTCCTTGATAACAACAGAGTATCGTCCTTTATTATTAGTACCTAGCATCAGTCTGACCTAATAAATGCTTGTGGGAAGAAATGTTGGAAGATGCCCTCGTTGATTCTCATGGCCTTGTGCCATCCCCTGCCACACTTAATTCAGTCTGGCTCCGTGACCCACTTTAGTAAATACAAGAAGCCAAACTAACATCATGGCAATTATTTGCCTATTAAATTAAAATTAAAATACCCTGGCAGCTTCACTTTTGGAAGACCTGAGTAACCAGATAAAACAAGCGGCTTCCCTGATAGAGAGACCATGAGGAGAAACCACACATAAGGCCACACGGAAGGAGCAGACCCTGAGAATTTGTGCAGAGAGGGCAGTCCAGGCACGTAGGGGACCCACTGAGCCCAGCTGTTCTGGCATTTCTACCAAGGTTCCAGATATGCAAATGAGTATTTGGAGAATTCCAATTACTTAGCATTTTCATATTTAAATATTACTGTAAATGACTCACACAACAGAAATCCAGACAATTCTAGATAAATATGCAATATTTGTCCAGTTTAATATTTTATAGCAGGTTTGAATGGCAGAGGCTATAAAATAATTTTATCTTTTGTGCATTCATTCAACATTTATGTGTTGGTTTCCCTGGTGTGTACTAAGCTGTGTGTCACACATGGGGGATTCGATGGTAAAAGGGGTAGATAAGGGCGTATTAACTACTGGAAGAAGGAAAAGGGATTTAAAAAATAAGATAATTTTAGGTAATGATAAATATTAGAAATAAGACCATGGATCCTGTGCAGGGATGATGTGGCTCTCCTCACGTGGCAGGTGTGGAGAGAAAGCTCCATGCTGATGCTGCCCTGTGACAACAGGCACATTTTTAATCTCTTGCACGATCACTTTTCTTTTCTCTAAGTAGCTGGTAGATTTTGTTGGGTACTGGTCTAGACATTAGCATTCCTCAGCCTTTCTACTTCTCCTAATACCCACGGGTGGCAGATGTTTTCACTACCACGTGGTAAGGATGAGAAATGAAAGCATAGACTCTTTAAGGTAATTAGCTCAACACAACTCAAGGAATGAAGGTTAGATCTAGAAATCCAGCTGACATCTGTGGTTCATTTTTCACCATCAGTGACTCTGGATCTCACTTATAAGGATATTTTATAATACAAAAAAGAGTAGAAAAGTGGATTTAAGCTCACTTAGCAGGGAAAATGTCTTACAACTTGTGCAACAATACCAAACTTTAGTTCAAAGTATCCCACTATTCTCCGGCCCAAATCACACCATATACTATGTTTGTCATTTAGAGGTCAGTCGCCTTCACACCTGGCTAGGCAATAAACAGCCAGCACGTCGTCCTGCGTCCTCTTCCACATGATTTCTGCAAGGAAACAGTTCACTGACCTTGGTTGAACAAAGATCCATCTTTTTGCTACGACGGTTCACCGCAATCCAACCTATAACCACGAGAGGGCAGCAAAGAGGCCAGTGTGAATGTGAAGCATTTTAGCCGGACACCAGGTGGCAGCGCTTCCGCTAACAACCGCGTCTGTTTTGGATACTTGCAGCGCGCTGGAACCAGATTCTCAAGGAACCAGAATACAGTAGATATATTCACAGGTTTCGCAAAGTGGTGACATTTGGGAAAAGATATAGGAAGTGCAGAGGTGCACCACGTAGGTACTTGAGGGAAAACAATACAGGCATGTTGGGAGCCTTGAAGCTGGAAACTGACCACTTGTGCAGGGCTGCGCTTGGCCAGGACATACCCATACCGGAAACAAAGAGCTCCAGGGTAACCCATGTGAAGTTGCTACAGCTCAGAAAAACGCCAGTCCCCTAAATAATCCGAGCAATGGGTTGCCAGGCAGCAGGGTTGAAACTGATATCATCTTTCCATTGGTTGAGCAGTTCCTTTCCTCCTGAAGGGCTCCACCTGACCCCAGCTTTGTCTGTTTTTATTTTCTTATCCCCTCGAGGTCCTTCACCCCAAGCACCTCAAGGGCCACAAGGGTCGGGGCACAGGCAGAAGGGGCAAAATCAAGGGGCAAATGTCCTGATGTGGAAACACAGTGAGAGTGTTTCAGGAATATCTGCTGCTCCGGCCCTGTACACCTACAGGCCGCTGTTTTCCCAGGGACTCACATGCATTCATCATTGCTACCTGGGATTTGATTTTTAAATCTGTTGCTCTGTTTGTAGTTTACGCCCAGGTTTGATGCTTTATTTCAGTTCTCTTTGGCCTGCAGTTGAAGCTGGTGATCCCTGAGATGTCAGCTGACTGCTCTCATATGGTTGCTCTTCTGTGATCAAAACCTTGCCGGGTAGGATCCTGTCAGCGCTGCGCTGTGGCTGGAAAGGGAAGCCAGGGATTCTCTTCAGAATTAGGGGAAGTTCAGTCTTCTTTCGCTAACGTTTGAAAATGGGAACAATAAGCCCTATAACGTAGTCTTTGATAATTAAATAGTGATTCTGAAAAATGTAACGTGGTGGTGATTTATGTGTGTTAAATACAATAAATATCAATTTTCTTTCTCTTTCTTTCTTTCTTTCTTTTTTTTTTTTTTTTTTGTAAAACTTGCCTTTCCTTAAGTATTCAGGCCTGTGTCTCTTTAACAATTTTTCTTCTCTTCACATAGGTTTAATGATGGATGCTTCTAGAAGACTGACTCAGTCTCCCTTTTCCCTGAAGGCAGCCATTTGTTTTCCTCTATCCTCTCAGCGTTATTTCCTTCTGACTGTATTAGCACACTCAAAGTGCTGAGCTGATATACAGGAAACTCTCAAATAGGCTTTATTTTCATTTTCCTGACATTGATGAATGCTTCTTACCCAATGGATATATTTTTGAAATAGATAAGTTCCTGTCTTTTAATTGTTTATATTCTTATTGCAGCTAGTTTAAAAGTTTTACTTGTGCCAGGTGGGGTGGTGCACTCCTGTCAACCTAGCCTTCCAGGAGCCTGAGGCACAAAGATGACAATTTTGAGCCCAGTCTGGGTAACTCAGTGCCTTTGCAAAATCCTGTTTTAAAATAAAAATGAAAAAATTGGGCTGAGGATAGAGCTCAGTGGAAAAGTCCTGAGTTCAATCTCCTGTACCAAAAAAGTTACATTATTTGCTTTTCATTAACAACTTTAAAAATGGTTTTTGATTGTTGACTTTCATTGCTTCTGATAATTCAGGCACCACTGTTCGTGACATTTCTAAGAACACGGCCTATCACTGCCGT